GTGTGTGTGTGTGTGTGTGTGTCTGCTGGTTGAAGTCTTTTTAAAAAATGGATATTATGGGAAGGCCAATGACAAGTGTTCTTCCTTGGAGCTTGAGTCCCAAGCGTGAACATTAAGACCTTGGATGCAGTGAACTCTGCAGTGGTTACTTAACAATTTGAGAATTTCACATTGTCATTGAGACCAGGATGGGTCAATGTTTACCCTTCTGTTAGAGGAAGGCGCAGTGAAGGAACATATTCCTGAGTCGGGTCCAACTGAACACCTCCATCAACGCTTGAGCTAGGATTTCTTCAGGTATTAGTTGCTAGGCAATCGGCTTCATTATTCCTTAGAGTTTGTGTTTAAAAGCTGGACTCTTTTCACGTAGTTCTAGGGAGGGCAAGTTGTCGAGGAGAGAGCCTTTGTTTTGGCATCGGCATGGCTGTGATGGGTGAAATAGTGGGGAAACTAACTCAGGAAATTAGCCTGTAATCACATTAGTTTGAAGTGGTGCAGTGCAGCAGCGATGGGGGCTGTTTTCAGGAAATCATTTGTTTCCTAAGGGGCTACAGCAGAAGGTCTGGCTGTTAAAATGTTTGCATATCCCTTCAAAGGTGAGGGTTAAAGCAAAACCATGCCCCCTCTCCACCCTCTACTCCCCAAATCAGCCCTTCAGAAAGAACCATGCTCAGCTTTTCTCTTGTGATTGTTTTTTGAGATATCATACATAGTAGCTACTTTTGAGATATTTCGTTCAGTTTTATCAGCATTCAGAATCACAGGATTTCAGAATTGGAAGGAATGTCAGAGGTCATTCTGGTTCTGTAGAAAGAGCGTTGGTTCTGCAGTCAGAGGAGCTGGATTCCAGTCCTGGCCCTGATAGTTACTTGCTGTGTGGCCTTAGACAAGTTACTAAGCTTCCCTGGGTCTCAGTTTCTCATCTGTATAATAAGGGGATTAGATAAAAGAAGCTTGGAGGTCCCTTTTTAGGTCCAGGATCCAACTGCTTTGAAGCAAGAATCCACTGTACAAACAAGTTGATAAGTGGCCATTCAGGCCTTGCATAAAGGCCTCCAGTGAGCAAGAACCCACTATTTCCTGAGTCAGCCTAGTTTAAAAAGTCATCACTCCGTTATGTGGCATATTAGAAAATGATAGGTTGCTATACCAAGCCTCTATGATCATTGACCCCATCGATGGAGAGTAAGAGTTTATTGCATGTTGAAAAGTCTTAGAGCGTTGCCTGAGTCTAAATGATTTGCTTAAGGTTTCAGTCAGTAACTGTCAGAAGTGGGCTTTGAACTCACAGTCTCCTGACTCTGAATCTTGTACATTTAAAAAAAAATTAACTTTCAATTTAGGGAATAAAACAAGCATTTCCATAACATAGTGTAATAAAAAAAAGATGATTGCACATGAAACTGCAAGTCTATTATACACCACTTGCTAATTCCTTTTAAATATATAATATTTATCATGCAAATTTATTTTTTTTCCCCTTTTTTTCTTCCCTGTCCTTCCCATTACATACACCACACTGCCTCTGGTCACTTTGTTTTTTATAAATTGGAGACAAGCATTGATGAATTTCTCAGCCAACCTTAATTCCCCTCTCCCTCTTTTTTATTTCAAAAGTTCATACAGTTAGGTCCCATCGTGTGACCGGTGACCTAAGAAGTGGTCTCATTATTCAGATTTTCATTGTCTGTTTCCATTGTTTTGGAACCAATGCCCATATTTCATATATAATTTATAACTTCAAATAGCACAAATTTGAATACTACAACCACTTCCCATGATTCATAACATATTCATCACAATCTACCTGTAGTTTTAATCTTAGGATCATTGATTTAGAGCCAGAAGAGACCTCAGGGATTACCCATGCCAGGCTGCCTCCTCACTGTACAAATAAGAAAACTGAGGCCCAAGGAGATTGTGATTTTCCCAAGGTCACAATAAGTATTAGAGATACGGTTAGCACCCAGGTCTTCAGACTCCAAATCCAGTGACCTTTGTACTATACTGTGGCGCCTTTCTGGCACTAAACATTTTATTTAGGTTCATAACCTGCAGCATCCTTGCCCATTTAAATTCTTATGCCTACCTCCCCATGGCAAGGGGGAGGTTCCAATGAGATGTCCTTGAGCCCAAAGTGAGTTGAAATATGGGAGGTAGAAAAGTATGACAGTCACATGTGATAATGAGTCTCCAGGTGACCTGGAATTTACTTTTCCTACTTGAATAGATTCCACCCATCCACTACATAATTTAAAGCACTGGCCTTTCGACACTGAGCCTTTTATTGTAGTAAAACACCAGGTAGGGGTCCAGAGAGTTGGGTAGCTTTATTGGCTGCACACCCTACTGTCTCCAGATTTAGAAGCCATCTCGTGAATCCTGTCTTTTGTTGATCAATTGCCACGGAAGCAACCCGGTCTCCAAGCCCGTGACCCACTGGGCCTCAGTCATCCTGCATACTAACAGCACTTTTTTATTCGACTCATGCTGTGTGAATTTCAGTGGAAGTAGAAGCTACTAGCCATTTAAAAAAATTAAAGCTTTGTTGGTGATTTTTTTTTAACATCACAATTATCTACATGCATATTCACACAGCCACATCCAATGAGCTATCCTTTGTAAACTACGGCACCAGTTAAGGAAAACTAACCAACACAGTGACCACGCCATAAAATGTACGCACTACTCTGTACTCATGATTCCCCACCTCTCCAAGGGAAGGAAGAAGGCACATCTCATTGGTTCTCTGGAGCCAGAATTAGTTCTAACAATTACAGCATTTAGCTTCATGGTATTATTTTTATTGATGTTACTGTATTAGGTGTGTATATTACTTTCCTCTTCCTGTTTGCTTCATCCTGCATCAGTTCATGAAAGTTTCTCCTATGTTTTTCTCAATTATAATAATATTATTATCATAATAATAATAATTATATATAATTATATATATATATATATATAAAATATAATAATATAATTATCATAATAATAGTCAACTTTATATATTACTTTAAGGTTAGCAAATCACTTTACAATTATTATCTCATTTGATCTCATAATAACCCTAGGAGGTAAACGCTATTACGACTCCCATTTTGCAGGTGAAAAAAACTGAGACAGATGGAGGTGAAATAATTTGCCCAGGGCCACACAGTTTGTAAGTGTCCGAGGCTGGAATTGAATTGAGGTCTTCCTGATTCCAGGCCTAGAGTTTTATCTACATCACCACTTAGTTCTTACTTAGACCTTCTAGTTTTAAATCTGTGACCTTTTCAACTTTCTTATCTCATTCTTTTAACAACTTTATTCTCCATCTCCAGTGTCTACTGTCTCCAATCTGATACCCCTATTGCTACCAAAATCTTCTTCTTGGTGTGCAGGTCTCATCATATCCCTTTCTTCTCCAAGCAATCTCCAGTAGCTCCCCAGTGCCTGCTGAATAAGACACAAATTCTGTTATCTGATAGTTAAAACTCTGCAGCCTGACCTTAGTTCACCTGCAGTAGATGGAGTGAGGCTATACTTGAAGTCAGAAAGGCCTAGAGTTCTTTCTTTGCCTCAGACACTTTACTAGTGGAGTAACCCTGGAAACACACACACCCTTCCTTTCTCTGAGCCTCAACTTTTCTCATCTGTAAAATGAGGAAATTGAACTGGATTAATTAATTATTAAGCACCTACTGTGTACCAGGCATTGTGCTAAGCACTGGACTTGACCCCTAAAGTCCCTTTCAACTCTAAATCTATAGTGCTAGGAGTCTACCTTTCCAAACCTGTTTCACCCTGCTCCTTTTCAGCCAACAGTCTGTTAGTAAGCATTTATTAAGCACTTACTGTGTGCCGGGTACTGTCCTAGGCACTATAAAGAAAGATTTAAAAAAACTCTGTTAATTATCTTAAATTTATCCTGTTTATAGTTTGTTTGCACATAGTTGTTTGTATGCCGTCTCATTAGACTGTAAGCTCCTTGAGGGCAGAGATTATCTTTTGCCTTTCTTTGTATCCCCAGCACTTAGCACAATGCTTGGCACATAGTAGGCACTTAATAAGTGCTGATTGACTTGTACATAGTAGATTCTCCATCAATATTCTTGTCGAATAAATGCTTAATGACTGACTGACAACAGATTCCCTGCCTTTAAGGAGTTCCCATTCAGTTACAGAGCACTGTAGCCTAATGGATTACGGTCCATTCTCCAGTTTGCTTTATAGTATTCCCTGTACCTCAAAAAGATTACTCTTAAATCTTTTCCATTACTGTTGCAATCTTTCTTCTTGTCTAAGGCCCAACTCAGATACTACCTTCTCTGTGAAGCCTTCCCGGATAATTTCCAGCAAGAAGTGAAGCTTTCCCCTTCTAACTCATGTAGCTTTGACCCAGTCCCCTTTTGTACACTCCTGGAATCTGTCACATTCTAAGTTCTGTTAAGTTTGTGAGGAGTGTACATGTCCTATACCATGAACGAACAAACGAATGAATCATTTATTAAGGACTTACTGTGTGCCATGCACCATAAAAACTGCTGGGATTACAAATAAGGAAACCGAGGCAGCTCCTGCTTTCTTAGCTTTCCTCACAGATTGGAAGAGACAAGACATAAAAGAAAAGTCAGCCATAAGGCAGATGGAAAGACCCTGGAATCCTAAGGGTGGTGCAGAGAGACAGATGGCAAGGCCCAGTGAGACAGGGATTATGCCCTTTTTCATCTTTGTATCCTTAATAACTTGACATGTGCTAATTATATGTTAGTCGGATACATCTGAACATGTACGACTGTTCAGGACTCAATGATCTTACATGTAGGCCCCCCATTGAAGAAGAATGCCCAAATAAGGAAGTCCATCTCCTGGAGAGCCATTGTGGAGCAATTACAAGAATAAGGGGACCTCTTTCAACATGTGTGCTTGAAGCTTCCCCATTTCTGGTGATTTCTCCCCCTCCCACCCCAACCTGCCCTGTCCCATCAAGTCATTGAATCCGATTTCCTTCTCTCCAGCATTATCCAGCAGCCAAGGAGAATTCTTACTCAATGGTGACTTTGTCGTTACAATGTCCAAAAAGGAAATCAAAATTGGAAATGCCGTCATCGAATACAGTGGCTCAGACAATGCAGTTGAAAGGATCAACTCAACAGATCGGATTGAGCAAGAGATTTTGCTTCAGGTAAAGCTTTAGAGTCCAAATCGGCCGCCTTTTCTCTTCCTAGCAAAGACGGTCTACAGAAACGATCTTTTTTTTGTGTGTCCACACTTCAGGTCCTCTCAGTGGGCAATTTGTATAATCCCGATGTGCGTTACACCTTCAATATTCCAATTGAAGACAGCCTTCAGCACTTCTACTGGAACAGCTATGGGCCCTGGCAGGCATGCAGTAAACTCTGCCAAGGTATCTTCTTGGAGGCTGGGTTTTGCTTTGTTTTCTGAAATGGCGACCTTCCTACAATCTGTGAAGTTCTCTGTCCACACACTGGGCTCAAATCTCCTTTTTCCTCGTCCTCTTGATCTTTGGAATCTGTGGCCATACCTGTTGGAAAATTGAGAATACCTCCTGTTTCACTGGCCCTGACAAGTTTGCATATACAAATGAGTCTGTAAATAATCATCTTTGCTGCATTATCTAAATTTGTTTGTTCTCCCCATTCCCTTTCCAGGGACAGATTTTGAAGTCAGATTATCAGAAGTCTTTTTGCCCTTTCTCCTTAGTAGGAAATATAATGGATAACTTTCCTGGAATGATAGTTTAGTCTTTTTTTTTTTCTTCTTTCCTTTTTCAGGGGAACGGAAGAGAAAACCTGTCTGCACCAGAGAATCTGACCAGCTCACCGTTTCAGATCAAAGGTGTGATCGGATTCCTCAGCCAGAGCCAGTCACAGAACCTTGTGGCACTGAGTGTGAATTAAGGTAAGGCTGCAGGTTTCCCTGTTAACCATTTGTTGTGTTAATGTCGTTGTGGTTTTCATATTTTCCTTTACTTTCAAATCCTTCCCTGTCTTCTCACAGAAAACAGCACCCATCAACTTTAGGTCATTTTGAAGCTGATTATCCAAGTCCAGTGTTTTCAATTTATGGAGGTTTCCTGCTTCTCCTTTGCCTATCAGATCAACAACTCCAACCCAATCTGCCAAGCATTTATTAGAGCCTCCTATGGGCCAGGCACCGAGCTAAGCAGTGGAGATGCAGAAGCAAAACAAAATAGAGTTCCTGCCTGCAAGTAGCTTCATTACCATATTCACTAGCTCTATGTCAAATCACAGAATCAGAAGACCTTAGGGTTGGAGGAGACTTCTGTAGCCATGGTAAAAGGGGCTGAAAAGCCCAGCAGACTGTGTTGCTACTTGGTGGGGGGAAGGTAGAGGCTAAAACAAAATTCCAGTCGGTCACATAGTGGATAGAAAACTGGACTTGGAGTCAGGAAGACTTGAGTTCAAATTCTGCTCTAGACTCTTCCTAGCAATGTAACCCTGGGCAAGTCACTTAACATTTTTGAATCTTAATTTCCTCAATGTGTAATGGAGATGATAGTACGACCTACCTCAGAGTGTTGTTCTGCGGACCAAATAATATTAAATTATGTAAAGCATTTTGCAAAACATAATGTGCCATACATTATTTGCTGTTACTGATGTTTCTTCTTCTTCTTCTTCTTCTTCTTCTTCTTCTTCTTCTTCTTCCTCTTCTTCTTCCTCTTCTTCCTCTTCTTCTTTCTCCTCCTTCTCCTCATTCTTACTGTTATTTTATTGGCAATAATGGCATATAAACAGAGACTTTGCCTTGGAGCCAGAAAGACCTGGATTCACTTCCTATTTCTCACCAGCTTACTGGTTATATGACTTTGGGCTAGTCACTTAACTTCTTAGTGTCCCAGGCAACTCTTTTCCTCTCTGTTATCCTCATACCCATCTCTAAATCAATCTCTAATGGCTGGATAAGAAGTCTCATGAAACATAACCAAGAATGATCAACTTTCAGGGAGTAAAAAGTCAGACAACAAGCATTTATTAGGTGCTTACTATGTCCCAGGCAAAGAAGATGCAGACCTTCACTGAAAGAGGGAGTTTTCTCATGTAGGAATTCCCTATTGTTAGAGATCTAATTATAGGTCTAATCCCTATAAGCCAATATTGTTTTTATTGTCAGTAGTAGTGATAATCAATCATTTTGAATTTTTTAAGGCATCAAACTGATGGGATGACCAGTCAACTTAAAATGGCTATTCCAGGCTATTTAGGCATAGCCTGAAACCATTAAGGAAAGTATGTTCCTTGAGGGCAGGAACTATTCCATTCTTGTCTTTATCTCCAATCCTTTGCACATAGAAGCTACTTCATAAATACTTTTCGAGTTTAATTAACTTAATTTTAGATTATTTATATATTGGAATGATCAAGCACACCCCCACATTCACCAATCATTTGATCTAGGAAGCCAAGCCAAATGGCAACCATTCGTTCATTCTGGGTTGTGTACAATCGATGGAGTTCTTGTATTTTCTGCACTCTCAATGATGGGGACTGGCTGGTTTACTGTTTTCTGTGCATTAGTCTTTTTTTCTCTTTAGGGAGAGAAAATCAGCTCTCAGGAGCCCTTCCTTGAGTTCCTCTCTACAATCTCAATGCTCTCTTCCAAATCTCTCTAGTGGCTACATGGAAAAATCTCATGAATCAAACATAGCTGGGGAATAGCAACTCCCAGAGGCAAAGCAGATGGAATGTTGAACATTCCCATTGCCGTTCTGTAAAGGACCAAGAAAAAAAAACAGGCCTATGTTTGTACAAAAGGCCTAGAGTGATATTATAAGATTATAAGAAATAAATGCTTCTTTCAGAGCTTGCTTTACTATCTATGGTGGGAGTAGCAATTTTGGGGCTGAGATAATGTCAGAGTTTGGATCTCCACTTCTCATTTTGTCTCCATTCCTGATTGGAGCCATTCTCTTTCTTCCCATAGCACCATCATTTAGCTTTGACAGTGTCATCCAATGTCCTGTTTTTTGCAGGTGTTGGCCTTGAATAATTTTCTCTCATCCCAGGGAAATTCACAAAAGAAAAAAAAATAAAAAATAAAAAGGAAATCATGGAAAAGTAGCCCAGACTGTCACTTTTCCCCTTCTGAATTTGTTTCCTTGTCTATTAAATGGGGATAATAAAAGTACTGCCTCTCACGGTATTTGGGAGTGGAGCATGACTAAGTTAATCAATGTAAAGAACTTTTCAAATTTTAAAATGCTTTGGGGTCCAGACTTTCGAATTAATTGGTGGAGCCAAGGCAGATTAGGCAATGTATCTTTTAACTCACATTCCTAGAGGGCCATCTAGGGCTTGACCATGTTCACAAAGCTGGTCAGAGATAGGTCTGGAAATCAGGTCTTTGTGACTCTAAATTGAGTCACAGGTGCAGAAAATAATCTTTGCCCATGTAGATCAGGAACCTATGTGAAACTTACAGTCACGTGAGGCATTGACAGGTTAAGGAACCTTCCTATAGTCTCAAAGCTACTTTACGTCATGACTTGAACATCGGCCCTCCTGACTCATAGGCTGGATTTCTGACTACTATACTAAGATGCCATTCTGCATGTATTATAGTGATTAATAAATACTTATGTTGCTACTTGTTAGGGGAAGAAATAGCCCCCCGCCAAAAAAAAGCCAATTCACTCAAATGGTAGATAGGAAGCAGGAAGACATAGGTTCAAATCCCACTGTAGATGCTAGGCAAGTCACTTAAAACCTCTGGGCTCAATATTCTCATCTGTATAAGGGAGATAATAATAGTAGTTTTGCTTATGGTGTTTTTGTGGTAAGAAGTACTCATTGGAGCTGACTACAAGTAGGGATTGTTAGGGAGCCAGCTTGAAAATGGCTCATGAGAGCTGATTGTTAAATTTTCAGCAAATGCTACAAATCAGGGCTTGATCTGCTGTGTTGTTGATAGTCTAGATTTAAGAAAGTGATGGATAAAATGTTTATGATGCCAATTAAACTTCAAAGTGTATCATAGGTCCTTTTTTTTTTCCTTTGGAGAACTGGTTGTTAAACATTTACCAGCATGCCACTAGATAGGATTATGATAAGAAAGACAACAGAAGAAATGCTTGCCACAGCCTCCAGAGGACCTAGTTACAACTCTAGTTATGCTTTAATTTTCTTTTCTGTTATCTGGCTTTAGAAGCACTGTTCTGAACAGCTAGGAGAAGGGATTCACATCTAACTCCTGTTTTGCTCCTGCCAGTTGGCTGAAAACCCAGGCCTCTGCTCTCCATCCAGGTCTGCATCTCTGAGGGCAAGGCTGGATAATAACAATTCCTCAGCCTGACTAAAGCACAGAATACAATGGTGGCATCGTGGCTCAGCCCATTGCAGAGTAGAAGTGGGTGAAAAAAATCTCAGGAATGAAGATTCAAAAGGAAACTCCCACATTCCCACAGTTCCCTAACAGGATGACAAATATCCCTGAGGAATGTAATGGGCCACACAAATGCACATTATTTCATTGATTCCTAGGTATTCCCTAGTGTCACAGGGAGTGACTTATCTTTGACATTGGACAGCAACAGACCCAACTTTTGTTGGGCTTCCTCTCATTAAGATTCATGGCAAAAAATGACAAAGAAGAGTCTCTGAGCCTAGAAAATCTTGTCTTTTTCTTTTTCTTTCAAAGCTGGAATGCTTCACAAACTCGCGTGTCGTCCTTTCCTGGGGCCATGCTTCTTGTCTCTGTGTTGTTATGATTTTAGTACAGATGATGAGAAAGCAAGTCAATGTGATTTTCATTGTGATTGATGATAAACCCTGATGCCATGGCGGTAGCTATGAAGAGATTTTTCAATTAAGCAGCTTGCTGTTATTAATTGGGGTGCAAAGAATAGATGCTGATATACTCGTGACCTAAAACATCCCTATCTCTATCTGAAAGTTTCCTTTCCATAGTTTCCAGATTCTTATACATCAAGGAATGAACTTACCCTGAAACTGTAGATGAATAACGTTTGTGTGGAAAAGGCAGCATGGTGTAGTGGATAGAGGGGATTGTCTTACAGTTAGAAAGTTCTGGATTCAAATCCTGTCTTTGATACCTCCTATACTTTGGTACTATATCCATGTGACTGATCATTACTTGGCCTATCAGGACTCATAGCCAGCTTTCTTAAGATGATAATTTACATGTGAGCAGCTAATCTGCATCAGTGGTAGGAGATTCCACACCATCAATTCCCTAAATCAATGAAATCAGAAGGCTGGCCAATTTTTTTTTTCCTTATAACATCTGTTCTTGGGGTCTGGCTGTTCTTCAAGATGGCAAATAATAATTCACATTTTAGAGTACTTCAATATTTGAAAAATTCTTTACTGGAAAATTTTCAATTTGGTTCAACAAGTATTTACTAAGTCCTGTAGTGTATGGAGTCAGAAAGACCAGGAAGACCTCTTATTAGCTGTGTGACCTTGGGCAAGTCACTTAACCTCTGTTTGCCTTAATCCGTTCTAAAAGGAAATGGCAAACCACTCCAGTATCGTTACCAAGAAAACCCTATGGACAGTATGGTCAAGGGGCTCATGAAAAATAGAATATGACTGAACCACAACAATGGTGTATGGTGAAGATCAGAGCCTTGGAGTCAGGAGGACTTCTGCACAAGACCTCCCTCTGACACAGAATAGCTCTATAATTACGGGAAAACGACTTCATTTGTCAATACTTCAGACTCTGTAACATCTTAAGTTTCAGATGGGTTTCTGATATGCATGGGGTGGAGGTGAATTTTTCTACATAGGGCTGGACTTGACATCAAGAAGACCTGAGTTCAAATCCTGTCTCAGACCCTTTCTAGCTCTGTGACCCTAGGGATGTCACTTGACTGCTCTTTGCCTCAGTTTCCTCACCAAAATGGAGGAATGATAACCCATACCTTATAGGGTTATTGTGAGGGTTAAATTAAATAATATATATATAAAGTACTTCCCAAACTTAATTATATATTATGTATAATATGTTTTATATTTTAATATAATATATATTATATATTACTTACTTTTATTATCACTGTAAAATTATTATTTTTATTTTATTACACAAATAAAATCACAATTCCAGACCAAAAAAAAAAAGGACAGGATCATAAAATGAGAGCTGGAAATGATTTTTGAAAGCCATTTAATTCAACCCCCTCATCTTATAGATGAGGAAAGTGAGACTCATAGAGAAAGCAGAGCGTAGCACTGCCTAGTACATAGCAGGTACTTAATAAATGTTTATTTACTGACTATTTATTATTAAATAAATTTCCCAGGGTCACACAGCTAGTAAGTGTGAGAGTCAGAATTTGAACCTGGCTCTTTTTTTTTTTTTTTTGGTAATCTATGATTTTATCATTGAAAATGGAAGCAAATATCTTGACAGAATATTACGGCCGCTCTATAAGAGCCGATCTTGGAATAATTCGCTGGTTCTCCTCTGGTCTGTCATGGCTAAAAAAAACCAAAAAGAAGCAGCAGCCACCCACCTGCCCACTCCCCCAAACCCAGATCTTCTTGTCACCAAGTCCACAATTTTATCTGTTATGCAACAGTCCCTTTACTTAATAGTACCTCTCCTCAAGCTTTGACTAATCCTCAAGACATTAGTAACTCACACTTATATGGTATTCTACGGCTTAAAAGATGTTCTCTTCACAATAACCCTGGTTGGTCAACAGTACAGTTATTCCTACCATGACCCCCCTTTTACTGATGGGGATTACTGTGGTTAGATAACCTAGCATCATTACACTGTCTATACATATCTCCTGACTTCATGTCCTATGTGCTTTCTGTAATACCATGCTCTTTTCTCTTGAGAATGAATTTCTTTGACCAGACAGAGGATAATAAAGGTTGCAGTGTTCACTCATAACCACGGGCCCAAGCTAGTATAGCATTTTGGCAACCTGGGGACCGGACGCTTGGCTCCCTCAACTCAGCATGGAAAACAGCATTTCCTCAGGGGTATGGTGACGGAAGGCCAAGAGAAGGTAGCCAGGAATCAAAGGGTGGATGAAAGTTCCAAATCTCCCTGTTGAGTTTGTCCTTATAATTGCCTTACTTCCTCAGGGAAACAGAGCCCACCCTGCTTAAGCTGTGACAGGATGAGATAAAGCATTGTTCTATGACCTTTCATTGAAAGTGTTCCTTATTAGAATAACTCCCCCCTCCCCCCCAAAAAAGATACCATTATACTCTTAACAGAAAGCCACTATAGCCTGCTTCACTTTGCTCCTCAATGGACTCTGACATACTGGACCATTTCTGTGGGAGCATATGCCACATATTCTCTTAAGACGTGGGCAGGCAATACACCATTTGACAAGAGGGGGCAATGTGTCGAAGAGTAAGGGGCATCAGGAGAACTGATTGTAACACTGGGACCTTTGGTGCCCATTTTAGGGATAGAAATGTCTTCCTAATAGCTCTTTACTGGCTCTGCCAAAAAAAAAGTAATGAGGATGGTGAAAGGCCTTGAGTTCATGTCCTTTATGTGTGGATAAATTGAGTGAACAGGAGCTGTTTTGCTTGAAGAAGACTCAGAGAGGACATGGTGGCTGCCTTCAAGTATTTGTAGAATTGTCACATGAAAGAGAAATTAGGTTGGTTCATCTAGGTCCATGGGAGCAATGGGAAGAGTTTCCAAAAAGGCAAATTTAGGAAAAAAATCCTAACAATGAGTTGTCTAGAGGAGAAAGGGGCTTCCTCCGGAGGCGCTGGCTTTCCTTTCATTGGAAGTCCTCGAGAAGACTAGATGGGTAAACTGCCTGGAAGTAGGCTCTAGAAGGGAGTTTTTCTCTTGGTTATAGATAGGAATGTGTGACCACTACTGTGCCCTCCAGCTTCGAAATTCTGTGATTCAGTCATCATCCTACCATTTCAATATGAGTATTACCCAAAGTTTTGTGCTTGGCCTTCTCTTTTGTCTTGTTTTTGTCTTTCCTTCTTTCTTCCCCTCCTTCCCTCCCCTCCCTTCCCCTCACCTCACATCCTCTCCTCTCTTCTCCTCCCTCCCCTCCCCTTCCTTCTTCTCCCCTCTCTCAGTTCTCACTCTCTTCCTGGGGCACTGCCTGGACCTGTGATTTCATCGATGTAAGGAATTGCCAATGTGGAAACTCCCTCCACCATTCATATTAGCAGCTCATTTATAAGTCAGCATCTTAGATTTCGAATTCCCGGAGGGTATTGGGGAGTTAAGTGATTTGACCGTTGGCACAAAGCTAGTATGTGTTAGAGTCAGGTCTTGAGCCTCGTGGTTCCAGAGGCTGGCCCTCTGTCCGCCATGCCAGACTGACTCTCATCCCTCAAGGATGAGTAAGTAGCCATGTTCCTCAGCTGTAACAAACACCAACCATGTCTATTTTAGAAAGGACAGGGGTTCCATAAAGGGGAAGTATCTCATTCAGGGTCACACAGCAAGCATGTAGCGGGGCCAGGATTAGGACCCTGTTTCTCTGACTTTTCTCTCAACTCCCTGCTGTGACAGCATGGTGCCTCATTATGGTACTCCGGAGAATCTCTCTCTTGGAAGGTAGGAGCCTTTTGTAGTAGTGAAATGGACATTTACTATGGTGTTGCAGATTAGCATGACAACCTGTCACCCAGAAATGGCTAGTTTCACTATCACAGTTCTGACAGCTCACTACACTGTCATTAGATGCTAGATACCTGAAGATGTTTGACAGTGCCTGGTGTCTGAATGGGGAAGGGAAGAAGAAACTTAGATGGACAGAAGAAGGGGCTGAGCCTTTGTCCTCCACTCCATAGAATGAACCTCTTCAGTTCCTAATGGAAATTAAAGGGAAAATAATGCTTCACTATACAAAAATTTGCTTTGCTCATGACCTTTTTGGGAATGCAGCTCTTGTGTAAAGTGAAGTACTGCTGCCAGCTGCTTTAAATTCATTGTTATTTGGAATCTGCCAGCATCAGATGGCCTATGACCTGGGTCATCGAATTTCAAGTAGTTGGCATTCCCCAGCTGACTGGATTGTGCTTTGCCATTAAAATTGCTTGTTTAGTACCAATGATGTGGCTTTTGGATCAGAGAGCCCTTATCTTGGATAACTCCAAATGTGACCAGCAGCTATAAATGGGTAGGAAAGGGGTCTGTGAGGCCGACAGCTCTTCCCCTCATCTTCCCTTCCTGATGGGAGTAGGGGTATAACAGGGGACTCTGACTAGGCCAGAGAAGGCCCCTCCTTCATGGAAGGAGTTATCTCTCCTGCTTGTTGTCCCTTGATTGTATCCTTCCTGGGACAGATGGAGATGGGATCATTCTTGGGATGGAGCAATCTGGGACTCCTTCTGACTCCTGGTCAGTTAGAGGAGAAGAAAGTGGCTGGAGCATAGGCAGGGGAGGTTGTGGACAAATGGGTACCACCAAGTCCAGGAAAACATCCCTCATTCAGACCAGTCTTCCTTCCCCTCAGTTCAACAAGTATTTTATAGATGCCCACTCCTGTCTGTCAGAGTCTGCAGTAGCTAAGAAATTTAAGACCTGGTCCCTAGAACCCAGCCTCAAGAATTCAGCAAAGTCACTAACAATCTAGTTGTTTAATTCAAGTGTGTAGCTTGGTTTGAAGTTTACAACCTCCCCTCCCCTCCCGTCCCCTCTCCTCTTCCTCTTCTTCCTCTTCCTCTCTCCTTCTCCCTCTCTTTTCTTCTCCCTCTCTTTCCTTCCTACAGCATTTTAAGGTTTACGAAACTCTTTACATACATGAGGTCTTTCAATTCTTACCACAACCCTGGGAGATCGATCACTGCAGGTGTTATTACCATTTTATAGATGGTGAAACTGAGGTTCAGAAGTGAAATGACTTGCTCATGGTAACGCAGCCAGTAGGTATTAGGGGCAAGACTAGAAACTGAATCAGCCCTTGCTGATTGCCAAGCCCAGAGTTTTCAGTAACCAGTAGCCAGGCCCCAGCCCTGGTTCTTGGAATAAGCGCCCAGGCTTATCAGACTCAGAACCGGAAGGGAGCTCTGAGATGACTTAGTTAAGCCCTTCATTTGACAGTTGGGGAAACTGAGGCCTAGAGAGATGAAGTGCCTTGCTTGTTAAATGCTTTACTTGATTGTAATCAAAACAAACATTGAATCATCTGAATCCTTTCCGTTAGATTTTTGTTATTCCCTGAGTTTGCCATTAACTAGATTTGACTGGATCTGGGCAAATACCAGTGACAGTCATGATATCACGGTAGGGCTTTATAGGTGAAAGCGCTTCATCTTGTTTGAGCCCCACCCCAACCCTGTGCAGTAGCTGGTACAACCAGTGCCATAGTGGATCGACAGCTGGATTTGACCTGGAGTCAGAAAGAGCTGAGTTCAGATCCCGACTTAGACCTTATAGCTGTGGGACCCTGGGCAAGTCTGCGCTCAACCTTGATTTTCTCATCTGTAAAGCGAGGATACTCATAGCACTTGCTTCCAAGGGTTGTTATGAGGATCAAATGAGATGAGATGATGCATGGAAAGTGCTTCTCTTATACTAAGGAAATGGAGGCAAGATTAAATAACCTGCCTGAAGGTATTGGTTGAACCAAAAGATCATTGGAGAGTGATCTAGCCAGAACCGCTGAGTCCCATGTTAAATACTCTTTCCATTGATCAACACAGCCTCACTAGGCTGCTAAGGAGATAAGCTTGAGCAACCGGCTGCCATGTTTTCTCCATGTACTTTGGCAGCTGTGGAAAATCCAAAGGAAAAGATGGTTTGGAATTGGATTTTAGCAACTCTGTAGCAACATTCTGTCCATTATTGTTTGCATGCAACAAATAGCTTTTCCTGCACATGAACCTCCCCATCAAGAAATGAGTCATTTGTTTGTCCTTCCCTATTCTTTCCTGGGTAGATGGCACATTGCTGGCAAAAGCGAATGTAGCGCCCAGTGTGGATTGGGTTACCGTACTCTAGATATCTACTGCGCCAAGTACAATAGGCCTGAGGGGAAGACGGAGAAAGTGGATGACAGTTTCTGCAGCAGCCACCCCAAACCAAGCAACCGGGAAAAATGCTCTGGAGAATGTAACACGGGAGGTTGGCGGTATACGGACTGGACAGAAGTAAGTCAGTTCTAATCACAGGAATACACACTTTTTATTAAAAAAAAAAATCACTTCTTTACTTTTGTCCATTCCTGGCTTCACATTTTAAAAAAATATTTTATTGAAATCTTTGTTTTCATTTATACACACGCACATACACACACACACACACACACACACGCGCGCGCGCGCGCACGCGTGCACACACATGCTTCCAAGTGTTGGAGCCAGCTAGAGCTGACTTTCAAGAGCTAATTGTTAAATTTTCATTATGAGGATTTACACTTTGGAAATCCAGTAAACTCTACCAAATTAGGGCTTCATTTATTGTTTTATGGATTGTCTAGACTTAAGAAAGTGACAGAGAAAATGTTAATGCAGATGAGACTTAAAAGCACATCTTATGTTTTGGAAAGCCAGCTGTTAAACACTTACTTACTAGCGTACTGCTCTGTGTGTATGTATATGTAATAATTATTTCTAACATCAGCTTCCCCTACCAGAATCCTCCATTGTAACAAATAGAAGCAATGAAGCAAAACCAATTGGCCCTGTCTGATAGTGTATGCAGCATTTCATACCTGTAACACACCTCCTCTCCTCTCTCTCTCAAGGCGGGGGCGGTGTTCATCACCAGTGCTCTGGAAATGTCTTAGGACCATAGATTTTAGGACTGGAAGAGTCCTTAGAGATCATCCAATCCAATGGCCTCCGTTCTTATACATGTGGAAACTGAAGGCCAGAGAGAGAAATTGATCAATTGATCAATTAATTGATCAATATCTTGGAGGAAGTTTGGATTTGACACCAGTTTTGACTCCAGGTCCTTTGACTCCAAAGCCATTGTTCTCTGCTGTGCAGCCCCCTGCCAAGATCGGTCATTACATGGACCTTATTTCTAATGTCTGCTAATTTCACATTATTATATACACTATTCTTTTTATTTAATGTTCCTTGCTTTGCAGCCCTTCACAGTTTAGTGTGATTTTTTTCCCCCTGGCAACATAGTTCTAATGTTGAACTCATCTTGAACATGGTAAATAGACTTCCCTAGTGCCCAGACTTTGGGGACAAGAGACAGGTCAAGGACCCATTTGTTGCCTGCATTTTAAAGACTATAATCAACTATTTCTACAGTAGGAAGAGAGACCAGACCTCTGTAAGAAACTTCCAAGTGAGGAAACTCTCTCCACCAAAGTGAGTCAGTCTCTTCTCTACAGCTTTGAGAGAGCTGCCTGGTCAAGTGATTTGTCCAGGGTCACAGAGCCAGTATGTGTCAAGTGGGACTCCAGTCCAGATCTGGTGATATCTACTTGACCAGGCTACTTCTCACATTCATTATTTTTATTTTTATTTTTATTTTAATTCTCTACAATAGACTATTTTTCAGCACAGGTTGGTCAAAAGTCACAACTCCCTGGAGAACTCAGTCAGGGAGAAAGGCCTTCATTTTCTGTTTCTGTTTTCATTAAGTGCTCCAAGAGCTGTGATGGCGGAACGCAGAGAAGAAGAGCTATCTGTGTGGGCCCTCACAATGACATCCTGGATGACAGTAAATGCAGACACCAGGAGAAGCTCACGGTCCAGAGGTGTCATGAGTTCCTTTGTCCACAGTGGGAATCAGGAGGCTGGTCAGAGGTAGGCTGTGGATGGATGAATGGATGAATGAATGGAAGATTCAGTGGATCAATGAAACAGTTAACATTTACCACATGCCGTGTACCATGCTACATCCTGGGATTACACGTACAAAAGTGAGAAAATCTCATATTATAATATGAGGAGATAACACATATAGATAGGGGACTGAGGCCAAGGAAGGGTGTTTGGGTTTGGTAAGTCAATAAGAGGATGAGTAGAGCCATTGGAGTGTAGATTGACATGCCCTTTCCAGGAGTAATGGAAGTATTGACTTGATTAGGGCTGCAGAGCTTAGGGTGATGGAGTTTGAGTTTTGGTAAACAAAAAGAAGACTGGGTTAAAAAGTGAAGCATGGCTAGGACCTGCTAGATACAGTTGTCCACATGAGATGCTCATTAATCAAAACCGTATGAGTCCCACGGAGAGAGTTTTGGAGCTGAAAGTGTTAAGTCCTCCTGGGGCACAGTCTGTCATCTGGAGTTTACATCAGAATCAAGGTGGCCAAGGTCCTCCATAGCATCCCAGGCTGTTGACAGTCACCCTGAGTTTTGTTTTGCCACTGGACTCTGATGACTCTGGAAGAGAGAGGGAGGCTGATGATTTGCCCAGCTCTCAGTTAAATCCAATTTATGTGCAAGTCAAGATATCAGTCATCTGTGATGTCATTGGACTTCCTCAAAAGGAAGGACGAACAACAACATCAAAAGAGTAGACTATGGCTCGGATGTAAAGTGAAGCATAGCTGGGGCCGACGAAGGACATGCACTGAGTGCTCAAAACTTTCCTTTGTCTGAATGATGATACGATGTCTCCCCCACCCCACTATTACACTCCACTAGCTGATGCAGGTAGACATTCTTAACCTTGGGTCTCCAAACTTATTTTGACAAAATGTATAATTAGTTTCCATTCTAATCTGAGGCATTTTATTTTATTCATTTAAAAATATTATTGTGAGAAGGGGTCCATCAGTGTCATCAGATGGCCAAAGGATTCCATAGTGGGGAAAAAAAAGTCAAAAACTTCCCATCATCATATGCTACAGTCATATATTTAGAGTTTGAAGGGACATTAAAAGCCACTAAGTGCAAACCCCTCATTTTACTGTTGAGGAAACAGAGGCACAGAGCAGCTAGTGGAAGTGCAGATAGGGAAATTTATGCTTGACATGAGGAATAACTTCATGACAACTCAACTTTCCAAGAGTCAAATGGGATGCTTTGGGTCATGGTGGGTTCCCCCTCACGGGAGGTCTTCAAGGCCACCACCAGACAGACGCTTGTTGGAATGATGATTCTTTTTGAGACACATGGTGGCCTGGATGGCCCTGAAGGTCCCTTCCTCTCTGTGCTTCTGGGTTCTTAGACCACTAAATTAGAATCACCTAATCTTCTTTCTGGTAGATATACCACATAAAGGCAAGAATTTACTGGATAAAAATTTAAATACATAGCTTTCACTCCTAAATGGTAGTTTTTCTGTAAGTTCGAATTTCATTCTAAGATCTCTGAAGGCAGGGCTGTTAGTCATTTTCTCTTTGTATTTCCCAGTGCCTAGCACACTGACCTACATATAAATAGATGCTTAATAAGCAGGTGTTGGTTTTGGATTGAATTGGCTATGGACCGATTATCCATTCACTGGACATTACAGCAGTTTAATTAAAACAAGCTATACTTTATGTACTATATAATTTGTTTTTAAGTGCACTCCAATACTGGGCAGGCTGTGTGGGGAGGGACACTTGGACCTAGGAAGGGATCAAGTCTCCCCACCCCCAAAGCCTTGTCCAGGAATACCTTGCGTCGAATACATCCTGTTTTCTGTTTCTCCCTTGCAGTGCTTGGTCACGTGTGGAAAGGGGCATAAGCACCGCCAGGTCTGGTGTCAGTTTGGCGAGGAACGGTTGAATGATCGACTCTGTGACCTTGCCACCAAGCCCACCTCGGTGCAGACCTGTCAACAGCAGGAATGTGCATCCTGGCAAGTAGGGCCGTGGGGACAGGTATTTTAAATGACAAGGTTCTCGACTATGTTCTTTTCTCTCTAGACAGAAGCTGAGAAGGGACGTGCCATTGGAGGGGATTAAACATGTCCCCAGCATGCCATGCATGGACTGGAACTGGTCAGCAGTCAGGCAGACCTAATTTAATTGGCAAAATTATTTTGCCTTGTTCTCTGTGCTGCTGTTTCTTTTGTGGTCCTCGTTGCACACGTCGATCCTGGGGCTTGCAAAGCCGGCCAGAGCCCATAAGCAGTCAGCCGGATTAATGCTAGAGGTCATTCTTGGCTGAGGCTTTCTTAGAGTATGTGTGTTACAAATATAATATGGCATGTCTCTATGAGAAGCAGCTTGGGGTGGTGGGGAAGAAGGCTGGCCTTAGAGTCAGGGAAATGGGTGATCCTGGGCAAGTCACTTAATTTCTAAGTGTCACAGGCAACTCTCTTAGAAATGAATTTGCACCGGATGGAAGGAATTTCCATGCTTGTAACTCCCTTACCATGATGAAGTTGCAGATATGCAACAAAACCCAGTAAAGACAAATAGTGAGAAACAAGCATTGACCCATAGTTACTAGAAGATCTTAGAAGATCTGGATTCAAGGGCTATCTTTGACACATGCTGGCTGTGTCACCCTGGGCAAATAATGGAAACTCTTCTGCCCCCAGAAACCATCTGAGACCTTAAGTTATAAATGAGCTGCCAATCGGGTTCAGTGGAGGGATTTTCCAAAGTAGAATTTCCACCAACGATGGAATTTAAAAACTGGACCCCTCTAAATCATCTGCTACACTAAATACCTGTAAAAGGTGGGAAAGATTCAGAGGGAGGCTTCCCATGAGTGCTGGGTAGAGCCTCATGGAGGAGCTGGGGGAGAATGTGCCCCAAGGGCTGCCCAGAAGAAAACTTTGTCCTGGTTTTTCAATCTGCAGGTGTCCTTACTAGGGAAAGTCATTGAAACATTTAAGTTCCAAGCATATGATGATGACTCAGAATTCTGCCAGTACAGACAGGACTACAGTGGGGTTTCTTTGTATATAAACTCACAATGATTATGAGCCTTAAAAGCCTAACTGTGTGTGCTAAGTCCTAGTCCTCAGTTTAAAAAAAAAAAGAATGAATGAATTTAATCTTGTTATAATAGGTGCTTAATAAATGGTTGTTGGTTTGGATTGAATTGGAGATGGGCCAATTATACATTCACTGTTCATTGCAGCAGTTTAATTAAAATAAATAAGCTATGCTTTGTATGCTATATAATTTATTTTTTTAAAGTGCACTCCAAGACTGGGCAGGTTGTGTGGAAAGTGGGACATTTGGACTTGAGAAAAGGATCAATTCTCTTCCCACACTCCCACCCACAGTATGAATTGTTATCTTCTAACAAGGTGTCAAATTCAAATAGAAACAGATTCCTGTGCCTGCATAAATAATTAGAAAACCACAAATTCACATTATCTAAGTTGTATTATATTTTTTATTTATTTTGTTAAACATCTCCAATTACATTCAAATCTGATTGGGACATCACCTAGTGTTTCTCTGAGTTTGAGGTCTCTGGCTAAAGGACCTTGAGAGGTGATGTGGACCACCTGACTATCACCAGGCAAGAGACAACCCCTGAAGAATAGCTCTTTCCTTTAATATCGCCTTCGTTCAGGCATTGGAGCTGCTTGTCATTGTACTTACCGTCATTAGGTAGAATCACGCTTGCCACAGATTAAGTAGCAATAACTGTATTAAGTTATTGAATGTTCATGTTCAGTCAACATGTATTTATTAAGGACCTATCATGTGCCAGGCACTATGCCATAGGCGCCGGGGGTATAAGCACCAAGAACAAAATAATCTTTAACCACAAGAAGTTTACCTTCCAATGTGAGACAGATGTACCTAAAAATACTCACAGTACAAATATAAATTTAACAAAGACAGATATCTGCAAAGTCATTAAGTACAGGCTACTTTGGAAGGGAGGAATGGGCAGGATCAGGAAAGGCTCATGCACAAGATGGTGCTTAAACAGTATCTTAAAGAGAGGATTCAGTGAAGCAGAGGAAAGAAGGTTGGAAATGCCTTAAGGAATACATCTTCTCTCCCACCTTACCTTCCCCAACACCATCACAACCATCTATTGCTAAGATCATAGACCTAGAACTGAAGGAGGGTCTAACCCAACCCCCCTCATCCTTCTCTAGACTAGTTCTAGGAACTATTTTCCCAAATACGTCTCTCTTTTATGGATATTCTATATTAGAAAAAGCTTGGAATGCCTGAGCAAGACTGAGTAGAAAAGGAGAGTCATTGAACAATTTCCCAATGCCTCTTCTGTCGATAGATGACATTTGGGGAGCCAGGTTGAAGGGCAGAGCACTGCAGGATGCTGTCACATTTTTTGAGTGTGTGTCCATCACGACGAGGAGATTTCTTTTATGTCCCATCTTTATCAGACCAGCTCAGCCTCACTTCACAGCCTTGGGGTCCATTCTTCTACCTGGTTGAGTTCTGGGTTATTTCTGTCTCCAGATCCAGAGAGTCACCTTGTTTACCTTGTGCTAGCCCCTTGACCTCCTTGAGTTGCACGTCCCTGCCCCTTTTTCTTTGTTTTGTGGAGGAGGTTGGGGAGAGAGCCTTGTCTGAGGTCTCTATGCCCTTGATTTTTTTTTTTCTCCAGTGCAGCGTGACTTGCGGCCAAGGCTACCAGATGCGAGCCGTCAAATGCGTCCTTGGAGCTTATTTGTCTATGGTAGATGATAATGATTGTAACGCAGCAACCCGACCAACAGATACCCTGGTAAGAAGGCATTTCCGGGAGGCTGCATGGGGCTCATTTGTGGGCACTGGGATTCGGACAGCGGGCCAGCCGATCACAGTCCTCCGCCTCCCTCGGGTTTGCTTAAGCGGAGTCTGTGGCCCGCTCAGCACATCTGGATGCTTGGCTCAGTGGCCAGGAGCTGAGACCGAATGAAATATTAATTTGTTTCAGGTTCTATTATTTTGATGTTGCAGCATTATTCTGGTTGAGTTAGTATTGGGAAGAGGCAGCATGACATCATGTCTAGAGCAGTGGAGTCAGAACTCAAACAGAAACAGTGGGGGCCCCTAACCCACAGGCTGCATGTTGACTTGGAAAACCACACGTTAACATTATCTGGGTTCCACTGTATGTTTATTTACATTGTCAAATATTCCCCAATTAGGTTTTTATCTGATTCAAGTAGCCCATGTTTGACCTCTCTAGGGGAGAGTGATGCATTTGGAGTCAAGAAGACATAGGTTCAGATCCTGCCTGAGACACTTAATAGTTAAGGTTCTCAAACTGAGTTTCTTAATTTCACTGTGCTTCAGGCAACTCACTCCCCAGGGCTTAGCTACAGAGTCATCTAGAAGTGGTATTCTGTCTAGAGGAAAGCCTCACCCTGGGGCTTCCAAACACTGGAAATCACAAAGTGTGTATGTGTGTGTGTGTGTGTGTCTCTCTGTGTGTCTGTGTGTGTGTGTGTTTAGCTAATTTTTTAGAAAAAAAAAGAAATATTTTGGGGAAAAGCATGTTTATTCCATGACAAATTACATGATGTAGTATATATCAGCATATTTTCTGGTTAAATGAAATAGGGGGAAAGTAATCCTACAAATTAGAGTCTTCTTTCCATTTCTATTATGAAATGTATGTTAACTTATTCCCCATATGTAAGTATCGGGATAGCCCAGTACATTTAGTTTGGGTCCCTCATGTGAACTCTTAAGCCCATGTGGAAATTCAAATGAATTCCTTTTTTGATAGCCACCTATGACTGCAGACTACTTAACTTAAAACAAATGATTACCATGGCCTATAGAAGTGTTAACACAATTCTAATTAATTTTCTGTTATGGACACCAGCTGTTGGGGCTTTGACCTAACATAAAATTATCTCATGAGTATACTATTACCCAGTGTGTCAAGCTTCCTTTTTTCTTTATTAAAACTTTAAACGTACCAAATTTTATTAATTCCAAATAACATAAAATTGTAAACATATTTCAAAAGCTGATTCTTTCTGTGGCACAGCATTTGGATTCAGTTCAGGGCTGAGGATGGTTCCTTCTAACATGAGGTTCCCATTTTGTCTTTGGTTTTCCCCTGGCGTAAAGACCCTTTATATGCTCAACTCTTTAGTATGCTATTGATGGTGAGATTGCCTGTTCTGATGTTGAGCACAGGAATGCATAAAATGAATGGATAAATGAAAAAAAAAACATTTATTAAGCACTTACTATGTGCCAGTCACTGTGCTAAGCACCAGGAATGCAAAAATAAGACAGTCCCTGTCCTCAAGAAGCTCACCTTTTAATCATATAATGGAGCTATAAAAGAGTTGGCGAGGGTATACATATGTCATAGAGAGGCTAGAAAGTGTCATGGCAGGCCTGGGAATGGGCAAGATAGGATAAAAGCTCCCATATTAGAGTCTAGGACTCAGAGACAGCCCATTATAACAATAATAGCTAACATTTATCTAGAACTCCAAAGTTTATAAATGTATTGCATATATCATTTCATTTGAACCCCACAACAGCCCTGTGAGATGAGTGCTATTCTTATCTGGGTTTTTCGCATGAGAAGACAGAGGCCAAGAAGACTTAGGTGACTAAGTCAGGCTACCACAGCTATTAAATGTTGAGGCAGCATTCCAAGTCAAGTCTTCCTGACTCCACATCAAAAATGCTACCCATTATTCCACCTAATATCTCTCACTGTTTATCCTTGTGCTTTATCTAAGCATTTGGATTTTAGACTTTATATAGACAAATTTACTTCAGTACATGGAAACTTCCTCATTCAAGAGCATGTTGGATACTGTACCAGATAAGATATCCAGAAAGAGCCCCTACCCTCCATACTGGATATTGGTCATACATACCCTTTGCCTCTTTCTTTAATTCAGCAATATGGAATATACTATACTGTGTAATGGTTTTCTGATTACAATTCGGTCTATAAGAGAATGATTATAAAGAAAAAACAAATGAAATTTGACTGATGTTTTTAGACCAGCTCAATAAAATGGAGCAAATTCCATTTCAATTCAGTTTTTGGAATCACGATGTATGTAGAATTTTCTGACCATAAAGAGGAGGTGTTGGAAGAGTACTCGCTTTGAGATCAAAGGACCTGAGTTCATATCTGGCCTCTGGCATGTATTACATGTATGACCCCAGACAAATCTCTTAACCTTTCCGTATCTAACTTTCCTTATCTGTGAAGTAAGTAGAACTAGAAGGGTTCTAAGGGCCCTTCTAGCTAAATCTGTGGTCTTACAAATTTGAAGTATGTTATCCATACTTATCAAATCCAGAACTTTTTGACCATGGACTTAGTAAAATGACCCATGTCTGACAGCATATATATGCTTTCTACACCTGTAGGACTCCCCTCCCCTCCCCTCCCCTCCCTTAACCAAAAGGAAGGATGCATATTTCATCCTTTGTTCTCTAAGCCTAAGATTGGTCATTGCCATGAACATCTGGATACCTTTTCCTGTTACTTTCTATTATATAATTGTAGTCATTGTATATGCATTCTTCCATTCTGCTTTCTTTACTCTGCATCAGTTTATATAAGTCTTCCTATGATTCTCTGAATTCCTCCTATTTTCAACATCTTTGCCCGTGCATTCTCCTCTGCCTGGAATAGGAATAGGTCCCTGGGCATCTCTACTTGGTGAAGTTTTACCTATGCTATGAGTATCAGATCAAAATCTTCTTCCTTAGTTTTAAAAAAGGAGCTACCCTTATTCTTTCTTAGTTCTCCTTCACCTACAAGGGGATTTCTTCCTGTTTTCAACCCTATGTAGTTTGTATATTTCTTGTAGTACTTCTCTTCTGACTTATATTATAGTGATTGGTGTATTTGTTTTGATACCTCCTCCCTGATGGGGGCAGGAACTGAATCTTATACCTTCATATCCCAGATACCCAGTGTGTTGTATTGCACATCCTAGGTACTTAATCAAACAAACTAAATTGAATTAACTTATTTTTGTGTGTGTGTGTTTATTAATTTATTTTGATTTATCAACAATCACTTCCATAAGCTTTTGAGTTTAAAATTTTTCTCCCCATCCCTCCCTATCTCCCTTCTGAAGATGGCGCACAATCTAACATAGGCTGTACATATACATTCTTACTAAACATATTTTCACATTAGTGATGTTGTAAGAAGTAGAATTAATAGGAGGAACCACCAGAAAGAGGAAACAAAACACAACAGAAGAAAAAAAATAGCAAATAGTATGCTTTGATCTGCATTCATACTCCATAGTTCTTTCTTTGGGTGCGGATAGCATTTTCCATCATGAGGCTTTTGGAGATGTCTTAGATCCTTGTATTGCTGAGAGGGGTTAAGTCTATCAATATTAGTCATCGCACAACATGGCTGTTATTATGTACAATGTTCTCCTGGTTCTGTTCACTTCACTCAGCATCAAATCATACAAGTCTTCCCAGGTTTATCTGAAGTATGCCTGTTCATCATTTGTTATATAGCACAATAGTATTCCATTACATTCATATATCACATTCACAATTATGATAACTATCTGTGTCTTTTTCTTCATCCTCCTCCCGCCATTTATGCTTTTCGTTCTCCTTTCTCCTTTTCCCTCCTCACTAATGTTTTGCTTTTGATCACCTCCTCCCTCAGTCCTACCTCCCTTCTATTAGCCCCCTCCCTTTTCTTTCCCCTTTTCCTTCCTACTGCCTATAGGACATGTTAGATTTCTCCCCCCCCCCCATTCTCCTGTAGGTTAAGACAGATTTCCACACCCAATTGAGTGTGTATGTTATTCCCTCCTTAAGTCAAATCCTAAGAGAATAAGATTCACTCATTCCCTCTCACCTTCCTCCATTTCCCCTCCACTATAAGAGTCTTTTCTTTTCTGTTTCATTTTTGTGGGGTAATTTACCCCATTCTACCTTTCCCTTTCTCCTTCTCCTAGTATATTCCTCTCTCACCCCTTAATTTTATTCTTCAGATATGACCCCTTCATTTTCAACTCATCCTGTGCCCTCTATCTATCTATATCTATATATATGTACATATGACTTTTTCCCCTCCAACTACCCTAATACTGACAAAGGTCTCATGAGTTACAAATGTCATCTTTCCATGCAGGAATGTAAACAGCTCAACCTTAATAAGTCTCTTGTGATTTTCTCTTTCCCGTTTACCTCTTCATGTTCCACTTGAGTCTTGTATTGGAAAATCAAATTTTCTATTCAACTCTGGTCTTTTCATCAAGAATGCTTGAAAGTCCTCTATTTCACTGAATGACCATTTTCCCCCTGAAGGATTATACTCAGTTTTGCTGGGTAGGTGATTCTTGGTTGTAATCCTATCTCCTTTGCCCTCCGGAATATTATATTCCATGCCCTGTGGTCCCTTAATGTTGAAGCAGCTAAATCTTGTGTTATCCTGATTGTGTTTCCACAATACTTGAATTGTTTCTTTCTGGCTGCTTGTAATATTTTCTCCTTGACCTGGGAACTCTGGAATTTGGCTACAATATTCCTAGGAGTTTTCCTTTGGGGATCTCTTTCAGGAGGAGATCGGTGGATTCTTTCCATTTCTATTTTGCCCTCTGGTTCTAAAATATCAGGACAGTTTTCCTTGATAATTTCTTGAGAGATGATGCCTAGGCTCTTTTTTTGATCATGGCTTTCAGATAGTCCAATAATTTTTAAATTCTCTCTCCTGGATCTATTTTCCAGGTCAGTTGCTTTTCCAATGAGATATTTCACATTGTTTTCTAATTTTTTATTCTTTTGAATTTGTTTTACAGTGTCTTGATTTCTCATAAAGTCACTAGCTTCCAATTGCTCTATTCTAATTTTCAAGGAAATATTTTCTTCAGTAAACTTTTGGACTTCCTTTTCTATTTGGCCAATTTTGCTTTTTAGGGCATTCTTTTCCTCATTGGCTTTTTGGACCTCTTTTGCCATTTGGGTTAGGCTATTTTTTAAGGTATTATTTTCTTTAGTATTTTTTTGGGTCTCCTTTAGCAAGTTGTTGACTTGTTTTTCATGATTTTCTTGCATCACTCTCAGTTTTTCCTCTATTTCTCTTACTTGCTTCTCAAAATCCCTTTTGAGCTCTTCCAAGGCCGGGGACTGATTCGTATTTTTCTTGGAGGCTTTGGATGTAGGACCTTTGACTTTGTTGTCTTCTTATGGTTGTATGTTTTGATCTTCTTTGCCACCAAATTAAGATAATATAGTCTGACTCTTTTTGTGCTGCTTACTCATGCCAATTACTTGAGTTTTAAACTCTTTGTTAAGGTAAAAGTCTGCTTCCAATGTGAAGAGTGTACTGTCCCAAGCTTCGGGGGTGTGTACAGCTGTTTTCAGAGGTGCTTCTAGGTACCTGTAAATTTTCAGTTCTTCCAACGTGGTATGATAAGGGGCAAGGTGTTTCCTCTCCACCGCCACAACAAACTTCACCATGCCAGTGCTCCTCCTCGCCGCAGGACCGCCCCTCAGAACTGTGACCCAGATCCAAGCACTGGTAAAGCAAGAGATTCCTGCCTCAGCAGTGGCAAAGAGATCCTTGCAATCCCCCTCTGATCAGCCACTCGATTCCCCCTCAGTCTGTGGGCCGGAAGCTCAGGAAACAGTTGCTGTCCCAGGCCACGCTCAAGACTTGCGGCTGAGACCTAGCTCTTTTCTCACAGCAGTCACAGACTTTTCCCACTGACCTTCTAAGTTGTCTTTGGCGTTTGTGGGTTGAGAAGTCTGGAAACCACCACACCTGCCCATGATTCAGTCCTCTGAGGCCTGCTCCAGGGTCGCTGCGGCCTGCGTGCCCACGCCAAACTGCGCTCCTCTCCCCACCCAGCGCAATATACCTTTCCGATCAGCCATTCAGGCTGTCTTTGGCTGGAAATTTGTTTCACTTTGTCTTTTTGTGGGTTCTGCTGCTTTAGAATTTGTTTAGAGCCATTTTTTTAGGTATTTGGAGGGCTTTGGGAGAGAGCTCAAGACAGTCACTGCTTTCCCTCCGCCATCTTGGCTCCACCCCCTCTGAATTAACTTATTATATGAAGAGGATGTCTCACAGGATTTTATGCTTTGGAGGTGGCATCCATTACCTCCATTTTTAAAAAAAATTGGGAGTTTAAGTGTATTGTAAACTAATCAAGTGTCAGCAGCATGATATGGCCAGCTTCCAAAGCTATGGCAACCTTATGAGAAGACTGGTATCTAGGAATAAAGAGGTAAGAGTCCCTCAGCATTCTGCCATGGTTATCTATAGCTAGATTATTGTGCTCAAGTATGGGAGCCCCATTTCAAGAACATTGAGCAGCTGCAGAATAGCCAGAGCTGGGTATCAAAAATCGTATAGGATCTTGAGTCCCTGAAGGAAGTAGGGAAGGTGAGCCTACAGAAGAGATGACTAGGGGTATAGGGGCATGAGTGCAGTCTTCCAATATTTGACGGGCCATCAAATGAGAACAGAATTTGCCTTGTTTTGTTTGGCTCCTGAGGACAGGAACAGGACAGAAGAGGCGGATTGAGACTTGATGTCAAGAAAAGCTTGCTAGCAGTTGGAGCTGTCCAAAAGTGGTATGGACTGCCATGGGAGGTCATCAGGTAGAGTCTTCCTTTTTAGAAGGTGAGATTTAAAGAATTATCAGGCATCTCATAGAGGGGATTCTCATTCAGGTAGGGACTAGATGGCCACAAAGGCACATCTCAATTCTGAAATCCTGGATGTGTGTGAAGGGCCTGGTCTAAAGTCGCACAAGTTGTTAGTGGAAGACTCAAGACTTTCCAAGATTCCTTTCCTCCACATGTTTCTATAATATAGCCACCCAAACTCACATGTGCTCTTTTCATGGATAGGACTGTGAATTAGTGCCTTGCCAACCTCCACCAGCTGCGCCAGAAGCAAGAAGAAGTGCTAGCGTTCAAAGAACCCAATGGAGATTTGGATCTTGGACTCCAGTAAGGAATTGAATGAATGAAGAGGTTGGGGGCAGGGGAGAGAGGATGAGTGAAGAGTGATGGATGGGACTTTTTTTTGGATGTGATTATTAACACTGGGCCACTGCCCAGCGAGAGAGTTTTCACAATATGTCTTCATGTCTGTCATCCCCAGTGCTCGGCCACATGTGGAAAAGGAACCCGGATGAGATACGTCAGCTGTAGGGATGATGAGGGCTCAGTGGCAGATGAGGAAGCCTGTTCTACCCTCCCTAGGCCATCAGCAAAGGAAGTGTGTGCCGTGACCCCTTGTGGGCAGTGGAAGGCCTTGGATTGGAGCCCTGTAAGCAAGGGAATGATGGATTTGGGGCTGGGGTGATTGGGTTTGGGCAGAGGTGGTGGTGGTGGCATCAACATGATAGAGACCCCTGTTTCATTTAACAAAAGCTGGATTATAATAGTTGGATTTATTTTGTGATTTCCCTCCCACTACCATCATGCTGCTGTCTGTGTCCATGCAGTACCCTTTTGCCATCTTCACAAAATGCACATTTTTTTCTTCCACGTATGACCATATGACGGCCGTGTTTCCTTTCTGAATGTCCATCACAGTGCTCCGTGTCCTGTGGACAAGGTAGGGCGACTCGGCAGGTGGTATGTGTCAACTACAGCAACCAGGTAGTTGACCAGAGTGAGTGTGACGTGGATTATATCCCAGAAACGGAACAGGACTGCTCCATGTCACCCTGCCCACGCCACAGCCATGACCGAGACCTACCCCAGCACCCCTTCCAAAATAAGGACTATCGCTCCAGAAGTGCCAACCCCAGCCGCACCCATGTGCTCAGTGGCAATCAGTGGAGAACCGGACCCTGGGGGGCAGTAAGTATTCGCAAAGACACTTCTCTGCTTCGTTGGCTCAACTCTAGTGAGTGGAGTCTGGGGAAACTGACTTAAGGCATCATTAGAGTTTTGCTCTGGTCTCCATGCAATCGCACTGGTGCATTTTGATTTGATTTAGACAAACTATAAAAGCGGAATTGTGGGAGCTGATGTCTGGCCACACGATAGGGTTTACATGCACCTATTAAGTTGCAATGACTTTAGGGACATCACTCCTGTGGAGTAGTGAGCTTTCTGCTGTAAGATGAGTGTTACGGTCTGATGGTCCACAGGGGGGACATTGGGACTGTGATTATGATAGATCTTCCAAGAGACTGACAGCTCTGATCTGTGGGGAAATTAAGCAGAGAGGGAAACTTTTCGAGAAGGAGAGTTTGAAATGAAAGCAATTTTCTTCCTTGCTATCTTCAAGATGAATGCACTCTCACAATGACATAGCTGGCTATGGGACTGGAGGAAGATTATTACCCTGGATTAGGAGGTAAATGCTAGTGTAGCTAATGTGATTGACATGATGAACAGGTAAATTAGCAAGAATATTTAAAACTAGCAAAGGGAAATGGGCATTGGGGAATTCTCTTTCTCTCTCTCTCTCTCTCTTTCTCTCTCTCTCTCTCTCTCTCTCTCTCTCTTTCTCTCTCTGTCTCTTCTCTCTCCTCTCTCCTCTCTCTCTTCTCTCTTCTCTCTTTCTCACCAAAAGTAAATGATGAAGTGAAATACCAAGAAACTGCTTTATTTCATGGAGAGACAGTTGAGCTTAATGGAAAATGTAGTGATCCTAGCTATTCTCTGACCTGTGTAAAGACAGTAGGAATTTACTCATTGCTTGTTGTGAAGTCATTGCTGTCGTGTTTAACTCTTTGTGACCCCATTTGGGGTTTTCTTGAGAAAGATACTGGAGTGGTGTGCCATTTTTTTCCAGCTCATTTTGCAGATGAGGAAACTAAGGCAAGCAGGGTTAAGCAACTTGCCCAGGGTCACACAGCTAGTAAGTGTTGGAGGCCGGATTTGAGCTCACAGAAATGAGTCCTGACTCCAGGCAGGGGCACTCTATTCACTGCGCCACCTTTATGCAATTACCTTTTAAAGAAATGGTTTCTTATCCATTCTGTTGCCTTCCTCTGAATGGTTGTATCTAATTACTTAATGGGTTGAAGAGCATTGGACTTGAGAAGAAAGGCGTCAGTTTTCTGCTATGAGAGTGATTCAGTAAGTTGGCTTTATTTGGGGCAGAGGAGGGAGGATACTTCTGCCTGAAAGTTCTGTACATACCAGACTTTGATCTTCTTCCCCTCTTTCCTCCCCTTTTCTCTCCTCCCCCCACCTTATCTTTCTTTTCATAGGTCATAAAGGATTTAGGCTTTGAGGGATTAAAGAGTGGCTAATGGAGATAATCTCTGAGTACCCCATGATTCTTCCTGTTTCAAGAAATTCAAAACCCATACCCATGCATCTTAATGATAGCTCTTAATGCTTCCCCAGAGAAAGATGCAATTATTATTTGGGACAACTTCGGCCACCTTGTCTTCCTTTCAGGATTAAAAACCTTGCCTCTGGGCAGCTTTCCAATTCCTTTAGGATTTGGTCCATTGACTCTTCCAGCACTGGCCAATCCCATTCTTCCTCCTTTGTGCACAGAGGCTTTAGGCCTAACTAAGTAAGGCTGTCCAGTTTTGGTTTGACACAACTACTCTGCTCTGCTCCTTAGGATGACTGAGTGTTCATAAAGCCTTTATAGACTAAGAATCTGGAGTCACCAATGAAGTATGGTTGGAATGGGAAGTCCATTTTGTAAGGGATGAATGAAGAGTTCCCGTCTTTTTTTTTAAATGAATGCAGAAAAATAGTCCTTGTCTGCAACTCACTTGCGAACAGTGCAGCTCTCCAGAGCTCTAGCCTTCTCGTCAAAGGATCAGTTGATGGGACGATAGTGTTCCCTTATGCTTCCATCAGTCTTGCTTGCATCTAACTGATGTGGAGAGAGAGTGGCAGAAAGGCTTTTTTTTTTTTTTTAATGTGATCACCCAGGGAGCACAGGAAGCTTTATAGCAGAATCACAGGTGTTCAGATTACTGAGCACCTATAAATGTCAGAGGAAAGTTCTGGTTGGCAGGAGGGATGGATCACTGGGTTCCAGAGTTACGGTGGCTATCCAAAGGAATGTCAAATAAAACTGGTTAGAATTGTAAGCAGAGCTGTAAGATAGACATTTGGGCATACATTGGTATAAATTCCTGAATCTGACCTTGGCTAAAACATTTAATCTCTGAGTGTCCCCAGGCAAATCTATGAGACTGGAGTTCCTGACACCGATGAAATTGCAGGTCAAGGACTAAATAAACACTTAAGCAAAAGAGTTAAAAATTTACTGAGTATCTGCCAACTACCCTGGAGAGTAAAGTCATGGAAAGAGCCCTGACTTGGAGTCAGGGGACCTCAGTTCAAATCTCAGCTCTGCTACCACAGAATTTAAGCAACTTGCCCAGGGCCGACCCAGATATTTAAATAGTTACTTGATTTCTCTGATTTCGCATCAGTGCAATGATGGGGTTGGACTAGATCGTCTCCTCCACTAAAGCTCTGAACCTCCACGCAATACTGGGCTGGGCACTGAGGAAAACGGGGAGGAAACATCTGACGTGTCACTGCCCTTGAGAACCAGACAGCCTTGTTGAAGAGATGAGATAAGGAACCAAAACAACTTGAGAACTCTATAAAGTTGGATATAATCAAAGGATAAGCAATACAGGCCAGCGCTAGATTTAATAGAATTCCACCACGAAGGCTCCATTTCTGTTACTGAAGTCCTGCAGAGTTGAGTGAGGCACGTAGACATCAATGGCTGCCTCAGGATCACATATCGCTTAAACATTTAACAAGCATTAATTCACTGCCTACGTGTGCCAGGCATTGCGCTAAGTGCCAGGGATTCAAAGATTAAAAAGAAACAAACCAACAAACCCCACACTCTGACCTTGAGGAGCATTTTTCTATTGGAGGAAATAGGAGAAAACAACATGTCTATATATACATATGTGTTAAATAAAAAGATAAATCTGTGGAAGAAGACAAAATAATAAGCTAGCATTTATATAGTGCTTCATGGTTTGCCAAGTACTTTATCTCATTTGGTTCTCACAACAACTCTCTGAGGTAGGTGATATATTATCCTCATTTTACACATAAGGAAACTGAGGCTGTGAGATGTTAAGTGACATGCCCAGGGTCACATAGGTAGTAAGTACCTGAAGTAGGATTTGAACTCTCAAAGTTCAACACTCCCCTATGTTACTGAGCTCTACCAACAACTGGGAGGGGGAGAGCAGGAAAGATGTCCTACAGACACACAGATGAATTAAGTAGCAGAGCTGAGGGATGGACCCAGGTTTTCTTGATTCCCAGTCCACCACCCCATCTTTTTAGAGTGTCAAAATATAAGCAGTGTCATCAATGTAGGAACAACTGGAAGTGTGTTTGTCTTTCAGTTCTCAAAGACAAGGAGTCTCTTCTGACACATTTACGCAGGGCTCAGAATTCATACTAGATTACTTAGTATTTATATTGAATGAAAGGGAGGGAGGGAGGAGAGGAAAAAAGAGGGGGGGAGGAAAGGAGAGGGTAGGACAAGAGGAGAGAGGAGGGAAGAAGAGTGGTTAGGAGTGGGGAATAGAAGAGAAGAAGAGAGGAGGGGAGGGGTGAGAAGGAAAGGAAGGAGAAGGGAGGATAAGAGCTGGAGAGGAGAGGAGGGGAGAAGAGAAGATAGGATTGGGGAGGAGAGGAGAAGATAGGACAGGAGGGAGGGAAGGAAGGATGATGAGAGAGGAGAGGAGAGGAGGTGAGAGTAGGGGAGGGCAAAGCAGAGGAACTGTACTAAGTGCTGGGGACACAACTATCAAATACAAAGCTCATTTCCCTCAAGGATTTGCATTCTAATGGGGGATATTCCAACACATATAGGAAGCGGTGGACAAAGAGTGGTGTTTTGGTTTGTAAAGTTGCACAAGATGGCATGGCCAGAAGAGCCCCAGCGTGGTCCATCTTTTCCATACCCAATGTCAGAGTTAATTTCATTTGTTTCTAGAACTGGCCAAGATGGGAGAGGCATCTGAAAAATCACAAACACCAGTATTTTGAAGGCCATCCATAGCATATAGACCAAAATTCTTTGGAGATATAACATGGGATTCATGTGAACTGGACAGTACAAACACATACACAAACACATTTGTTCATATCAGATTGATTCCCTAGTGAAAAATAATAATCTACAGCATATGTAAACTGGTGTTGAAGATAACAATTTAAAAACAAAAACAACCCCTGTTTGACCAGAGAGGGCAAGGACTGTAATTTCCAACAGCAGCTAATGGCAATGGGCAAGAGGACCGAGGGAGGGAAAGAAATACTTTGGTGTGAGATGAAGCTAGAGAAGTAATGATATTTGCTGTTTCAAAATAATAGCATTTGTGTGGGGTTAGATAAGGCTTAAAAATTCAATATCTGAACAAAGACCTCGAAATTGTTGCTGATTCCACTCAAGGCTTGTAGGATCTTGGGAACTGGGTTGCTTTTGTAACAGATGGTTCTTTTATAGGTGAATCAGGCTAGTTTGAAGAGGGGGAGCTAGCAAACACATAGAGAGTTTAGAAAGATAAGGAAATTATGCAAAGGAGAAAATACTCCTGAGATGCAGATAAAATGAGAAAGCTATGCAAAGACAGCATGGGAAGTTACTATAGTGCATTGTTGGGTCTATGAAAAGCATGATGGGAAATAATGAGGATCAAATGTTTCTGGAGGGAGATCTGACCATATGGATTTGACCAGAACATATTTGGAGAAGTGAAAACGTAATGAGCTACTACTATGAAACATTGGGAAAGGGTTGGAAAGAAAACAGGTAGTCACAGGCATTATATTAAAGCTCCCTTACCTGCTCATTGATTTAAACCTAGAAAGGACCTTAGAGGTCATCTCATCCAGCCCTCTTTTTACAGAGGGAAAGATCAAGTCCCAGTGATATTAACTGACTTGCCCAAGGTTATACAATGATAAATGGCTGGGTGAGGATTGCAGGCCAGATCCTCCAACTTTAAAGCCAGAACCTCTGGGTGTGGTAATGTGATCATTGTGAAGAACAGCCCTTTCTTTCCATACTTAAGTAACTTGACATGGAAGCTTCATTTCAACCACTAGATATTCACCAAGTGCAGGATTTGGCCCGTTGGTTGTAAAGGAATCCCAGCAGTGGAGTAGAGAGCAGAGTCGATATAAACACTTGGAGTTTTGAATGACAAAATCTTTTTTTTTTTAATCTTATCCCCTTGACCTTTCAGAAAGATGCTGTGAAGATGACATGAAACAATAAATGTGATCGTGTTTTGAAAAAAACAGAGAAAAAAAGTTTTCTTTCCCTCCCCCCCTTTTAAAAAAAATGCCTTTTTTTATCATAGTCATTCTTGGATAGATGCTTCTGTCTGCACTACATACCCCCTCCCCCCCCCCACACACAACACACAATCTGATTCCTCCCATGTAGTAAAGAAAAACAAGTAAGCAAATGCAGTTCACCAGCTCCATTGACTACATCTTACCATATGTTCAGGACTAGGAGGGGATGGTCTGGCTGCCATGGTAGTGCAGAGCACTGCATTTTAGGAAGAAGTGTTTTAATGATTAGATGAGTTGTTAACTTTTGAAGAAACAAGCCTTAACAGGCTTGGAATCAGTCTCTTTACAGATGGGCTTAAAGTACTCCCAAAGAATGCTTGCTTCAGTTATTACTCTTCATTCAAGTACTAAACCTACTTTTCCATAAGATCCGAGATATTAGCTGGAAGGGATCTCAGAGAACCTCTGGTTCAACCCTCTCATTTTACAGATAAAGAAAGTGAGACCCAGAGCAGTTAAAGAGACTTGCCCAAAATGACTCGGGTAGTAAGTGACCAAATGCTAGTTTCACTTTCTATTTTTCCAGGATCCTTACTGGTTTTTCAGTTATTTGGAATTAGCTGTTAAGCTTTTCATTTATAGTTGCACAACCCTTTTTTTGAATGCCTGCCCTCCCATACATTCGAATTGCCTAAATGTTTAGAAAAAGTATAAAACATGCCTCTTGCCCTCAGGGTGCTTAGAGTTACTCAGCAGCGTGTAGACTACAGTGGTTTTCTCAATGATGGCTTCCCATCATTTTGTCAATTTTCAGGATACTCTTCATCCCATCAGTCCATCACCTGAAGTTACCTCTTCTTGGTAGTCAGGGATATGGATTAATTTCTTGAATTGATTTCTTCAGTGCTCTAGTACGTGTGCTGGTGGGTTCCAGCGGCGAGTCGTCGTCTGTCAAGATGAAAATGGATATGCTGCAAATGATTGTGCGGAGAGACTCAAACCTGATGAGCAGAGATCCTGTGAATCTGGCCCCTGTCCTCAGTGGGCTTATGGCAACTGGGGAGAGGTGAGATTACCTACTGCCTTCTGTTTACTTTGTTGATGGAAGTGGTATCAGTCATTCCAGGCTAATTGTCCCATTGTTGGTTTGATTGGGGTGGGGAAGGTGTGGAGACAGTCCCAGGGGGGAGTCAAGACCTGAGATTTCATTCCAGTTGGAACCTACCTCCAAGGAATAGCTCTACAGGGATGCCTGTTGCCAACCCCTGTAATTTATCTCATTAGAGAGCTGCCTAGGGGCAGGCATTAAGAGATAGTTACACAGCCATTGCATGGCAAAGGAAAAAATTAAATCAAGTTCTTCCTGACTCTGTGACCAATTGTCTTTCTACTAAATTAGGCTTTCTTTCCTATAGGTTATACATTTTAAATGAGGTGCAAACACCTATAAATTCTGCCTCTGGCATTTACTAATCAACCAAGTATTTATGAAGCTCCTACTGTTTGAAAGACCTTTAGTAGGTTAGGGGAATAAAAAGACAGCACCCTCCCTCAAAGCCTGTTAACCTATGTTTCTTTATCTGTAGCAAAGTGGGGATGATATTACCTCCCTTTTCCCATCTGTAAAATGAGGATGATACTACCTTCCCTATGTGCCTTACAGGATTGTCAAATGAAACAGTATATGTAAAGAGCTTTGCAAACTTTAAAGCTATGTGTCAGCTCTGTCATTGTTGTTCTTATTAAAATCATTCATTTGGATCATTAAGGCAAAAATCTTGAATTATCAGCAATTTTTCTGGATCTTTCAGGAAGATACAGCAGCCAACCACTTGTGGCCTTTTAAAAGTGTTTTAATGATTAAATGAGTAATTAGTAGTTAATGTATGAAAATACTCACTGGAGTAGTATTGACTTTTGCCTCATTATTAATGGGCTTAAAGTATTCCCAGAGTTTATTTTCTTTAGTGAGTAAATCTTTTTCTCAAGTCTTCTTTTTATTTGAGTATTAAGCCTACTTTTTCATCCAATCATAGATTCTCATGATCCTCAACCAAGGTGAGAAGAAACCCCAGAAACCATCTAGCCTCTAATCCCCTTATTTTACAGCCGAGGAAACCGAGATCCAGGTTGATCCAGGGACTTGTCCAGGGTGATAGAGTAGTAAAGGGCAGAACTAGGGTTTCAACCCCAATCCCCTGACTTCAACCCATCTCCCTTCATGCAGTGTGCTGCTTCTGTTCATGGCTTCTCTGGGTTCAGAACAAACCCAATATTCTGAATTTGGAAAGCTTTAATACATGCAGTGCGATTATTCCCATCTGAACTGTGTTTTGCACTTTGGAGTGAATAATTATTAATGCACCTTCTATTTTTTAACTCCTCAGCTGTTGTTTGTTCAAAATTCTAATTTGCTGGGACATGAAAGTTTGTCTTGAAGTACCTAAGCCCATTTCTAGCAACTTTTGAATTCACAGGATAGAACAAAGAGAACTTGTTGAGTTCTCTTGTCTTAACTATACATTTTATGTAATAAATATGAGGATTGAAGGTTGGAAAAACCGTGACAAAGTACACCTGAAACCCTTTGAGCCCAGTGGGTAATCATTTTGAACACTCGCCTCCCTAAAATCATTTGTTTATGTTCAGTTGTGTTAAACATGTAACTAATAAGCCACAAGCAGCAGTCAAGATTTTGATGGGCCTCTATCAGCTCGTATTGGCAGACTGTTAGGAAAACAGAAGAGGAACCTCTTCTTGGCATCGTATGTACATACTGCCAGTTTCCCTGAGCTCCTCGGAGAAGCCAACCCTTCTCTGCCACAGATTTCTCCCCTGGGATTATGACAGGGCTTCTGCTATTGCAGAACCAACAAAAGAATCAAGAGTTGTGTGTGATTTATGTTGTCATCACCAGCCAGAGAATGCCGTTTCTGTGGGAGGCCTGGCTCCTGATGTCATGACATCAGGGAAATGAAATCCCTTTCTCCCTAGCCCTGTCATCCAAGAGGCACAATTGTGTTCCTGTATCAAAAGGCTTTGATTTCATCAGAAATTAGAACGTCCCTTCACATTCCCACCAGTTTGCTTATTCAACATTGCGGAATGCAGTATTCAGGGAAATGGAGTCAGCTTCAAAACCATTTGATGGAATCCTAAAGATAATATTAGATATTGGAATAAGGAATTCCTTGAAATAGTTGGCAATTCTTAGTTGTATATGCTTAGATTATTCTTAGATAGTATTAGAAAGTTTTGGCACAAAGCAAAGAGCCAACGTTCTAGAGTCAGAGGTACTGAGTTCAGATCTCCTCTCTGGCACTTCTTGTGAAACCTTGGGCAAGTCAGCTCCCTGAATCTTACTTCCTTCAACTCTAAACTGAGGAGTTTGGACCCTATGCCCTCTGAGGTCCCTTTCAGCTCTAAATCTAGGGTCCTATCACATAAAGTCTCCCTTCACCTTTAGTCGGGTGACCTTCTGTTTATGTTGATCTCAAAGGAAAGGCAGTGAATTGCAATGGGAAACTATTGCCCATAGTGTTTTGTACTTAAAGAATTCCAATGTTCTTTCCACCCCTGCAGGTGGCAAGCAGGTTCATGCTTGAGGTGCTGTGGTTGGGGAAAAAAATTCCATCATCTGGTTACCAACATGCTAGTGATGGTCCTACCTGAACTTAGGTTGGCTTATCTTTAGACAATAATCCCAGAGTTTGTCTAGGAAGTACATATATACCTTTCTAATTTGTCAGGACCCACTAAAGCCTGTGTTTGCTGGCTTAGCCCTCTAGCCCTCAGGTCACTTCCATATCAAAAGGAGACATTAGAGTAGAACGTTGGTGGAGACCTTCATATTCTCCATTCAAAGGATGGCCTTATTGATCAAACACCTGCCTGTCCTCTGTTATCATGGGCTTCCATTGTGGCTGAGAAATTGCCATTGCATCCCCTGTTTGTGGTTGCGATGATCTTCACCCATCTCCATTGCCTTTCAGTGCACAAAGCCATGTGGTGGAGGAACACGGACTAGATTGGTGGCTTGCCAACGTCCCGATGGGGAAAGATTTACAGACCTGAGCTGTGAAATTCTGGATAAACCCCCAGATCGAGAGCAGTGCAATACTCATTCTTGTCCTCAAGATGCGAGATGGAATTCTGGCCCTTGGAGCTCGGTACGGCCCTAAATCTTAATGTTTGTTCGTTGGTGTCTAGGTGCTCCGTAACCCATCTAAGTAGCCATGCCCTGTGCTCTGGTGTTTGGGGAAAAGCCACTGGGACAGATGCTGTTTTGTGTCTGCCAGAGCCTCTTTGACTGGTTATAGTGGAAGGGATGGTAATTCCGTCAGGTCACTAGGGCCTTTTAGATGCACCAGAGAGAGAACTTAACAATGAGTTCCCTTCCCCCTTCTTGGCTCAAAAGGGCAAGTACATGTCATAAAGGACTTAACTAAAACAAAGAAGAATATAGTCCACAATTTCACATTTATACACTATACCCAGTAGCAACTATGGGATGTACATTTCATTGTACCTCTATGACTTCATCAGTACAAGCCCATCCTCCCCTATCCATCCATGTAGACTATGACCCCATCTGTACTTCAATAGAAAGTTTCATGAATTAGTATGAACACCCCCACCCAAAAAAAAGACATCATCCGGTTAGCAAGTCCTTTGGTGGTGGATCTCTTATGGTATATTAAAAACAAAAAAAAATTTTCTGATTTTGGCAGACTGAAGATGAGCTCAAAATTTTTCTTTTCCAAAGTTAAATACTGGTAGTTTTTGTTTGAATATCTTTTGTACAAGTTGAACTTTTTGTGGTTCTTTTTGTCTTGTGATTGAATAGGGTAATAATCTGCTTATTGAAGCCAAAGCAAATTTGGATTCCACTCTCTGATGATAGCCTGTGTCCCTTATTTTTTTACCTTGAGTGACTGTGCAGAGTGACAGGCTTAGTGATTACTGAGACTGTTGTCTATAAAACAGACAAAGTGAAGATGATAGTAGAATCAAGGATTCAGGGGCAGGCTAGATGCCCCAAATGTTTGTGCTTATGTTGACAGTCAAACCAGTATCACCGCTTTTCCTCCCATCTGCTCTTAATGATTATTGAGGCTGTCCTTCAAACTATGCAAAACGAACATGGTTGGGGGACTGGTGACTTGGTGACTGTCAAGATTCTCCAAATGTTTTCACCTGTCTTAAGACAGTCAAACCAGTTTGACTTTCCGCCTTCTCCCACCACCACTGTCTCCTTGATTGTCAAGAGTATACAGAGCAAAGCGAACACAATGGTGAAACTGGTGATATTGGGACTGTTGAGATGTTTCCACCCCCATCTTGACCACAATCTTAATGGATCCGCATCTATAAAGAAAAGTGAACATGGTTGTAGAGCTGGCGATTTGGTGGTTGTTGAGATGTCCTCAAATGTTTTCTCTTATATTAAGACAGTATTACCATTTTTCCTTTCTGATTCTAGGCTTCTGTTCCTACTGACAAATGTGCCAGTGTAAATTCTATGCACAGCTCTTTGTAAACAGAATCAATGACTGTGTAAATATAGTATTTCACTTAAGTAAATTGTACAATGGGGGGGGGAAGGAGAGACACCTGCAATCTGGGATGGTTGCTCAGTAAATGCAGTAGATTTTCACATGAAGACAGTATTTGCACTAAACTCAGATTTAGTATTATATTGAATTGTTGTTAGATTATGGTTTGTTTTTTTTTAACTCAGAATGTTTATGAGAAATATTCTCAGCAGTTACGAAGTAAGTCACATGATGGGCCCACTTATGGACATCACTGGTACTTCATGTCATTTCTGAAGACGTAATGACTCTGGTCTCTGAGATGAAGTTATAAGCGCTGGTTATGTAAATACAGTACTTAGAATAAGTCCAAGCCTAAAAGATTTAGAATGTAACCTTATTTACCATTAGCTGAATTGTGAGCATAGAATTCTTGACAAATGCCTAAGAAGAGGATCTGAAATGCCATTGACTCTCTGAAATCTACAGATCAGTGGTCTTCCCCCCTAGCATTATTTGGCTTCTGACAATGGGACCGAGGGATGCTTTGTGGAAGATCATGACGTCTTCCATGATACTGACTTAGAAATATGAGGATCAGTCATCCCTAGGTCCCTTACTAGATAATCCTGCATGCTTGAGTTTATTTTTAGCATGTACTTATGACCTCTTAGCATGAGTTCCATAAATTTAGCTAACCCTTGATTTTCAAAATTTCCTCTTTCAAGCTTTAAGGTGGAGGGTGGGTAGTCCCGAATTCACTTTTCCCATGATTTGGAGAATAGATCTATGTTTACCCTAGCTATATACCCTTTAGTTCCATAAATAAATCTTCGTACTTTATTCTACACAGAAAGAACTTATTTGGGAAAACAGAAGAGGGGAGGGGAAGAACTTCATAAAATCATTGTGTATTAGAAGAGGAAGGGAGAGGGGTTTTTTGCTCCAGCCTCTTGTTTTTACCATTAAGAAAACTGAGGCATAGAGAAGCACAGAGTCTTTTTCCCATCGTCTCATAGCTAGTTAATACTTTGTACAAATCCTTGAAAAATGTCACTTCAGTGGGGCCCAAGCTTAAGTTACTCCTCAGATTTCCACAATTTGCTCCAAAGATAAGGACCTAGGGACTGTAGACTTAATGTTTTTAGTAAGTAGAAGGGAATATGTCCCAAACATTGCCAGCTTCCTCCCTCACCCGCTTTGTGTATCTCTTCCATTTCTGGTGCTCCCAAATGGATGGATTTTTAGTACATTATCTAACCAAAGCATTTAGTTTTCTAATTGGCACCCTTATTTATGATTTCAGTAGTGTAGGGAACGCCCAGATGAGGCAACTCCTTTTACCTATGCAGGTCAGCGTCTTCTCTTCCACTTAGAGTCCAAGACTTGCCTCAAATGCTGTTAACTCGCCCAGGGTCACGTGGCCAGGATGTGTCAGAGGCAGGATTTGAATCCATGCCTTCCTGTCTTTGAGACCAACTTTCTATCTACTCCACAATTCTGCTTCTTATCTTGGGGCTTAACTCTAGACCAAGACCTAGAACTGGATCTCGAATGCAAGTCTTGATGGCGTGGCTCTCCACACCGAGGCTCACTGCCTCTCCTGATCCCCTCTAGGAACAGCTAGACTGCTTTGCTAAGGCTCACATCCATTCATGTATAAGGAGAGACTTAAGCATTAACATTTAGGTTAGACATTAGAAATGTGTATTGCTTTAATCGATTTTAAAATGTATAATTTGTGATATTGAATTGAAATGTTTTTGCAACTGCTCACTATTTTCTGAAACACTGGCATTGCAGGAGAAACATGGTGCTTTGTTACCTTCATTCACAGAAATGGATATGTGTCCTTATTTGTTCACATACGTGAACAGCTAACATTGATGTTAAAAGTGCTTTAAAAACTCAAGTGGCTTTCTAGGTAAAGTGACCATTGTCCGTGTGCATCTTTAAAATTACTTACCACCTCGGTAACAAGTGAGACATCGTGGTTTTAATCACAATTTTAAAAGCTTAAAATGTAAAATACTTTATTCTAATAGCTACATTGGTTATGAACAGATTGTCCTAAATAGATTTTTGTTATTCCAAATTCCCATGGCAGACTTGATGTTCATTTCTGTGGGTGGTATGGTAATATTTCTTCCCAACTCTAAATTGATTCGTACCTCAGTCAGTTCTACCAATAGCCATAAACCTGCTATAGGCATTTATGTTTGGTGTTTCTATAATCAGAATTGCCAATCTTGCCAATACTCTACTTGAGGTGATAACACGTTGCTTTGAAATAGGGCTTTCAGCAGGTTTCAGGAAGTGACCGAGTCTCACCATTAGTTTCTCAGAGCTGTGCTTTCTCTCCAAAATTACGCCCACAAAATGGAATCTATCCAAAAAAAAATCACTCCTCCAGGCTTCCTTGTGTGCAAAAGTTTTCAGTAACTTAAAGATATGGGCATAGCTTCAGGCTGCAAACTCTTCCAAACCTTTCCACCAGGCTTGTCAAATAGGGCCTTAGATTCTCTAGCCTAGGTCCCCTGAGGTGAAGGGGCTTATGAGGCATGGCTTAAATCTCTCTAGAATCTGGGTACCCAAGTTTAGCGTCTTCTTGAAGAAAAGATGCCAAAAATATTTAAAGAAATTCATCTGCAAAAAGTTCTCTTCAAGTTTCTGATAATGTTTTATTATTGAATTCTGGGTTCTGGAGAGACTACAATGGGAGAAAGCCCCTACCCCTAATCCCTGGGAAGGAGAGGCGTACTAATGAGTATGCTTGATGATTCCTGGAGGAAGTCCTCTGGAGAGTTCTAGATAGTGGAAGCATGGTCAGGAGATGGTAGAACCATCAGAATTCTAGAATGCCAAGATAATGGATTCATGTTTGTAATTAAGGTGAATGAGGGCACAGAATGGGTCTGTGACTATTCCCTAGGCTTTCCCTGCATAGACTTCATTATACCAGTAGAAACCGCTTAGGTCAGTTGTTCATGACAAACCTATAAACTCTTCTGTGACTGAGGTCTGGTTTAGGTGCCTTTGAATTGATACTTATCAACTTGGATAATAGAACTGATGAGCTTTAAGGGCCAAAGAACTGGGCTTGGGTTGCTCCCTAGCTGACTTATGGATTTGTGCCTACCTCATTTTCATGTTAAAGTGTGCAACTACTGTATGTAGTATGAGGGAAAAGTTTGACTTTGGTGTTTTTAATCACCTCACTGCTTCTAGTTATTAAAAAAAGAAGATTGTAAATATTTTTACTATCATATTTTTGAACACCTTTAAAAAAACAACTGAACCTAATATTGCCTGACTATCCTGAGCAATATAGATTTCTATGTATTTATATGTAATAAAACATATTTATTTTTCCAACATTGTTATTTAATTTCATATACCATGTTTAAGAATCAGTGTTTCTTGGCAGCCTTCAAAGACAAGTAGAATGTAATCAGAAATGCATGTAAATATTTCCTTGGAGCTAATAAAAAAGATACATCTGCATTTTGTAAATTCTACCCCCTCCCCCAAGAAATCAGAGTAACCAAATGGCAATTTTCATGTAATATGAGAGTTTCATTTGTATACGTTGTATACGTTAAATATTTCTGACTTCGAAATGGTACTCGATTATA